GATCCACTTAGTAGTAGGTTCTATACCCCAGCAAAGTATATGACAGTTTTGACAGCATGGGCTAGACGTTGTATCATCACATAGCTCATACCGATGGTTGTCAGTTAGAGAATCTCCCAAAAAGTTATATTGTATTTCTATACACAAACTAAGTTATTATTGTATTCTTCAATACATTGAGTTGCTATCTACTGTTTTAAAAGCTTTTCATATATTGCATCTTTTATTGTTGCTTTATTCAGAGTTGAGTATCTAGAGTTGAGTATCTTATTATTGAGTTGAACCCTATTTTCTCTGAGTTGAGTTGAATTATATTTCTCTGAGTTGAGTTGAACTATGTTTCACTGAGTTGAGTATCTTATTATTGAGTTGAACTATGTTTCATTGAGTTTAGTTGAGTAAGTTGAGAAGAGGTAAGTATGTTTCTTTTCCATTAGTTCAAGCTTATGTTTATGCTATAGAATTCCCCTAACATGCTCATACATTCCATGTACTCAGCCATTTGTCCTGCATCATTTCATGATGCAAATACAGGTATTCAGGATGCGTTCCGTTGGGGTCATGTGATATTCCAGTCAGCTTTGGTGAGCCTTCTTATATTTCAAAGGACTTCATCTTTCTCTTACAGTTAGTAGTTTTGAGATGTCGTGGGTCTTGTCCCGATATCCTTCTGTAATAGTAGAGGCTTCATAGATAGACAGAGTTGAGAAGTTTGTTGAATTTATTCAAGTTTTAAGCTTTTGTATGCTTGAGTTAGTCTTCCACTTGTAGCCAGCCAGGATGATGATTCGCTCGAAGACTTACAATGGTTCTCGAGTGCCGGCCACGTCCAGGGTGTAAACTCGGGTCGTGACTAATACAAAGTCAAATTAATTTTAAAATAAAATTTAATCATCAAAACTAAAAGCTAATAAAGGATAAGTATATGCCATTAAATTAGGTATTTCAGATACATATTATTCCTTGAACATATATTAATTAATAAACAAATATTTGTAGCTAGTATTGTAGAAAGTAATTGATATATATGTTTTTTAAAATCAATAATAGTTCAATTTAATTAATTTTAAATTTAATAGAACACAATTTGTAAGAACATCATTGACTAAATATGTGAAAAAAGATTAATATATACATGAATCATAATTTTTTTTCTTAAAATTGTGGTGTTAGGGCTAACTTGCCTTCGATCCCTATCAATATTTGAACAGGTGGAGTTTGTTTTTTTGTTGGAATTTAAACTCAAGATCTCATGATTTTCATTTCACTTCATTGATCACTAAATTACCCTAAGTGCAACATGCATTACAATTCATAGAACACATTATGTGACTTAATTAGTCTAAAAGAGCTTTCTTTAATTATTACTAATATTAGTTCTATTCCATTTGTTCAAATTTTGATAGAGATCGAAGGCAAGTTAACCCTGACACTACACTTATATGAAAAATATTTATGATTCATGTTATAATTAATGGATGAGCATATACAAAGAACCATGTTATTAATTAATAAAGAAGCAAGCACTAATATTATAAACATGTTTTGCAAATCTTTGCATGAAACATGTTCCTGTGTTTCTTTAGGATACAATGTAAGTAACCAACATTGTAACGACATTAGCTTATGTCCCGTTGTAACTTATAGATAGTTTACTTCACTCATTTGTAAAGACATTCTAGATCCTAGCAACACAATATTAATATACTATTTTTCTTGAAGTTTCAAGTATGCCTTATTATAACACCCCAACAAAATTAAGATAAGATTTAAATCATTCTCCGTATATGTATAGATAGAATTTAATTAATTTAAATTGCATATGTATATTAAGGTTCATTCCTAAGTGAGGAAAGTGTTTCGAATACAATTCATGTTATAATTAATGGATCTAGCATGTATCGAGAACCATGTGATTAATTAATAAGGAACAAACATTATATGTTTCCTTAGGATACAATGTAAGTAACAAACATTGTCTCAGCGAGCTCAGCGAGAGATATGGTATATTTACATAAGTAAAGCATTATTAAACATCGTGTTTCATTGACTTTTAATAGGTTAATTAGAGATTGATCATCATTTGTCCAAAGGAATCATTAGTTTGCTGAGTATAGAAGCTTTTAATTAATTTAAAATATATATCAAATTATTTTTAAAAGGCGTCTTTAAATAAAGTTTGACTCTAAACCCTCAATTCAATTGACACATCTATTATAGTGTTATTTGTAAATGCATAATGAATAAAAAGGTGTGTCTGAAACTACACTGATTGGCTCAAATTTATCGATACGAGAAAGCATAAAGTCAAGGTTGCATAAGCTGGTTGGATCTTGGGCCAACAACAATATAGTTATCGTCCATGCAGTGGCATAGCCATATATAGCTCAGGGTGGCCAGTCGGACATCCTTCGTCAAAAAATTATATAATATATATAGAAAAAAAAAATTATACGAAGTATAGAGATCACAAATTAGTTTTTATACATATATATCAAATCTTTAACATCTTTCATACAATTTCTGACTTCGCCATTACGTCCACAACTACATTGCCAAACCATATTGTGCAGCGTCTTAATTTCTTCCTCTACTTTTGACTCCAAGATTCAACACGAGCACCTATAATTAACAAAATAAATCTACTTAATAAATATTCGTGCTAGTGAAAAATAGCAGGTAGAGAGATGTAAGCAGAGGAGTGCTAACATCTTCATTAAAAGATATACCATGTGAATAGAATAATTTTATTTTTTTTGCTTTTATGTAAGTTAATGAATCTTCTTGATATAATTTTTTTTCTTTTTTTTTTATTGAATTTCCTTATTTGAAATTTTGTCTCCCTAGTCAATAAATAAAATTAAAATTAATAAAAGTGCAATAAAACTAACTCATCCAACATACAATTAAAACGCGTGTCAAAGTGGCAGCAACATAACGAGCCAACATCCAAATAGAAACTAAAAACATAACTAATTAATAAAGAACTCAATTATGTTTCATTATATTTAAAGAGTTTGGTTCTCTTTGATACCAACAATCAAATACAAAGTCAAACTTACATCACATGCATTTATTCTGATGTAGTTCATGGTGAAAGAGAGTAATGATAAATTTATTATATTTTTGGTCAATGAAATAATAGGTTTGTGGAACATAATTATGTCCAAGGTTTTAGAATGAATAATATGATTCAGATTGTTTTTGGGATGCTTTTCAATTTTGAATTCAAGAAAAATGTTGAAGAATCACTTCATTTTTGTGAACGATTATATGTTGATAGTCGTTTTTTGTGTGATGGGAGTCCACACTCTTAACTGTCTATTACAACTAGATTAGTAATTATCAAATTAGATTGGAATATTGCTCAAGGAACAATGGACTTTGTGATAGACCTTATTTAAGAGTTAATTGACTTGATTCTAGAGGTTCCTGATTCTTTCTATAAGATAAAGAAATTGATGTCTAAGTTAGGACTCTCGTCAATTAGAACCGATTATTGTAAAAATGGTTGCATCTATACTATAAGAATAATGTTGATCTAGAATTTTACAAGTTTTGTAGACAGCTCTCTCAAAGCGTGGTTCTCATAGAAATAAATTAAAGTTTCTATTAGGACAATGCATTATTTAGCTCTTATACCAAAGTCGAAGAGGTTGTATGCATCAAGTGTTCTACCCTACATATGAGATGACACTATGAAACAAAAAAATAACCATCAACTGTTTTGTGTCATCGATCAAATGGAGAGTCTTGGAAGCATTTTGATAAAACTTATTCAAATTTTACAGTTGAACCAAGGAACATTAGGTTAGGCTTATGTGCAGATGAATTTCGCCTCACTTCTGTTTCAACTGCACCATATTCATGTTGGCCTTTGTTTATTACATTGTATAATCTTTCATCTAAGATGTGTATAACTAATATATATATTAATTTTATTAATGCTAGTTATCAACTTATTTATTTTATTTAACTAGTTTTTTTTCTAAAACGGATGGGCAAAGCCCATTTGATATATAAAGAACAAGATTACATGCATGACTATGCCCAAAAAGGACCCGGTCCAATATCCAAAACAAAAACCTATTCCACAATTAGGAAAAAAAAGGGAACAAATTAGGAAAGGGAAAGGGGCGAGTCATCTTCCCCAAATTAGCCCTACCTGCAGCTCCCATTGCTAGTGTAAGCTTCATCCTCCATAACCATCGCCATGAACCGAAAACGACTAAATTGGTACGTCAAGCTTTGGGTGTATTTCATATCAGACGTTAACAAGTCTCACTAACATCATGAAATCATCCCAAACGAAGACTTCTCCAACTCAACGACATTTAGTTGAATGTTCAGGTTACACGACGGCGTCACTCCCTCGATTTATACTCTATATTCACTATTAATTCTTACCTGATTCAGACCCTCGTATGTTTCGTCCCTTAGTTGTGACAGGTTGAGCTCAATCAATGGAGCTAATACCACTGCCTACAACTTTTGGACAAATCTACAATGATCTTCTTCAGGTAATCTGCGTTTCTGTGCTATTTTGTTGCGTGTCTCTGCTTGTGTTATCGGCTTCTCCGTTCAATTCCATCTTGTGTTTGCAATGTCTTAACTTTTGTCATTATGTACCACTGTAACCATAATTCCTATATTGGTTCATCCATTATTTGTATAATTTCCATTTTGGCGCATAGTAATCCTTAGATTAGGAGTCTGTCTTTTCTCTAAGTTTAATAATGCCTTAGCTTCCCTAGGTAATGCTTGAGAATTATTATAACTTATGAGTTCTGTACCTGCAAAAGAAAACACAATGCTAGCCATAAAATATGCCAGCTTATTTCCTTCTCGCAATGTGTGTTCAATGGCCACATTCAATCCTTCCTTAAGAACTCGTATTCTGTTAATCTCAAGTGACACCTCCCAAGGAATGTGCCAATCTCCTTCTACCATCTTTTTGACAGCTAATGAATCTGTTTCCAGAACGAAAGGAAATAGATTGTGAATCCTACAATACTCCAGCCCTAGTCTCGTAGCTATTATTTCAGCTTTTAAATTGTTTGATACTCCAATCCTTTTTCCTTCAGCATATACTAGATTGCCTGGATCATCACTAACACAGAAAGCAGAAGAGCTTGGTCCAGGGTTACATTTGGAAGCCCCATCTATGCTGCACTTAAAATAATTTTCCTTAGGTAACTTCTAGTAAACCACTTTACAGCCTACCTTAGGATTATATTCAGTCAACAATCTTACAATTTCAGGCCAGTTATTGGGCATATTCTGCATCCATGGATATCTCTGCTTAGCCAATGGGATTAAATTACTGCAAATTCCTCCCCTCATGCTCATATAAGGCATATCACCACCAAACTTCTTAGAATTTCTTCTTTTCCATACTTGCCAAAAAATAAACATTGGAATAGCCATTATCAGAGGTTTAAGTTCTGCAGAACATTTTGCATTCCACCATTTATACACAGTATCTTTTAGATGAATTAATGGACCCTCCACTCTCACTGTACCTTCAAAATATTTCCATATTGAGTTAGAATCTGAACATCTAATGAATAAGTATTCAATAGTCTCCAAAACTCCATCTGCGCATCATTCACATTCCACTCCATCACACATTCTCTTTTTAACTAGAACTTCACCAATTGGAAGCCTGTGTTGCCAAATTCTCCAAGTAAGGAGTGAAACCTTAAAAGGAATTCCTGTAATCCAAATATGCTTGTAGTTCACACATGCTTCATTTTTATCTCTTAGAAACTCCCAAGCAGATCCAACTGTGAACTTTCCAGTAGCATGCAGCATCCACCAAGGATTATCCCACTGCTCCTCAACCTCAGTACTCCTAAGAAGTTGACTTACATGTCTACTGAAATCTTCCCCAAAACTTAATTGCAATAATTCAGAATTCCACTCTCCATTCAAGAAGCATTGTTTGACCTCTTCCAATTGTACATTTCTAGCAGAGTCAATAGGAATAATCTTTGAATAGCCCCTAATTGTGACCAGTTATTATACCAGATACTTGAATGTCCACATTTTGGTTCCCACCAAATATGTTGATCAATCAAATCTCTAGCTTCCAGCATATACTTCCAAGTTAGAGAACCCCTTTTCCATTCCACCATTTGAGGCCTCTCTTTTTTACAGTGTTTATTCCACATAAAATTAGACCACAAAGACTTTTGTGTTCTAAATATCCACCATAGTTTTGCAAATAAAGCTTTAGAAACATCAAAAAGGGATTTAAAGCCCAAACCCCCTTCCTCCTTGGGTTTACACCCAGTGCATGTTACTGCCCACATCCCTAAACCTCCAAAATAATTTAGCAAAAACTCTATGCAAATCATGTATAACACATTTTGGAGGAATAATAGCAGATAAGAGATATATAGGGATGATGTTTAACATATTTTGAATTAGAACAGCCTTACCACCAAATGACAAGAACTTCCCTTTCCAAGCTTGAAGCTTCTGATGCACCTTTTTCATCAATTCTGCAAAGTGTGTTTTTTTCTTCTTGGCATGACCAATGGGACAACGCAAATACATAATTGGAAAATTCCCTCTAGAAAAACCAGTGTTCATTTCAATGTCATAAATTAATTTAGTTGTTGTATTGTGAAAAACAAAGAATGAGCTTTTTTTTATATTAATCATTTGACTTGATTGCTTCTCATAATCCCTCAGAGTCGTCATCAATAGCTCTAAAGATGTACTATCTGCTGGCGTGAAAATAATAGTATCATCTGCATAAGTAAGATGATTAATGTTATCACTCCATTTTGGTAATTCATAACCCTTGTAGACCTCATTGCAACACAAAGCATTTAAACTTCTAGAGAGAGCTTCAACAGTTAGAATGAACAAGGAACGGGATAGGGGGTCCCCTTGCTTCACCCCCTAATTGAGTGAAAGAAGCCAGTAGCCTGCCCATTTATAAGAATAGAGTACCCCAGTTGTTAGCAACCAGTCTCCAAACTCTATCCACAACAACAAATCAAAACCCATTCTCTCCAACACCTCCACTTTGTCATAAGCCTTTGACATATCTAACTTGATCACCACATTTGCAGGTTTACCTCACTTACTAATATTAGAAATAATCTCCTGAGCAAGCAACACATTTTTTGTTATACTTCTTCCTTTTACAAAACCAGATTGGTTTTGTGAAATCAAAGATGGAAGGAGAATCCCAATTCTATCATTCATCACCCTTGAAATTACTTTGTTAAGAAAATTACTCAGGCTAATTGGTCTTTAAGTCTGAAAAAGATTGAATATCTTCTTTCTTAGGCAATAAAACCAGGTTAGTGTGAGTAATAGACTTAGGAAGTGTAGCACCTGAAAAGAAAGCATCAACCACTTTAACCACATCATCACTAACAGTATCCCAAAATTGTTGATAAAAATGACCAGTGAACCCATGAGGGACACTAGCACTGTCCCCATTGAGAGCAAACACTACATTTTTTATTTCATTCTTAGTAGGGTGTGCATTTAACTTGCAATTGTCATCATCAGTAACACTCTTCTGAACATATCTCAATATTGGGGTTTCCTCCATAATATAGTTGCTTGTGAATTGCTTCTTGAAAAGCTACTGAGCAGCTGCTGCCACCTGATCTTCCCCTTCCATCCATTCACCTTCCATGTTCTGAATTCTGTTTAAGCTCAATCTTTTCCTTCTACCTCTCACCAAGCTGTGGAAGAATCTAGTATTTTTTCCCCTTTAACAAACCATTGAATTCTAGCTTTCTGTCTCCAATACTCTTCCTCAAAATGTACATATTTTTTCAATTTTGCATGAGCCTAATGTAGAATTCTTCTATTATCTGTTGTTGGGGCATCTTCAAATAATTGCTCCTTCACCCTTACAATCTCTTCCCTAATAACAAGTTGCTTGAAAATGTCACCAAAAGCCACTCTACTCCAACTAGACAAGGCAACTCTGGTATTTTTCAGCTTTTGTTTCAAATTTATAAATACATCAACCTCTTCAAAAACCCAACTGTCCTTCACTACCTGTTGGAACTATGATCTTTCAGTCCAAAATTTAAGGAACCTGAAAGGTCTTTTAGGAACATTATTCTTCTGTCCAGAAGAGAGTAACATAGAAGCATGATCAGACCCTGCTCTTACCAAATGTTCTACTTCTACCATCCCAAAGGATCCCAAAAAGTCATTATTCATCATGTATCTGTCCAGCCTTTTGAATATACATTGATTATCAATCCTCCCATTCCACCATGTAAAAGGGTCCCCTTTATAATTGATTTCCACCAAGTCACAAGAATTTACACAAAATGCAAAATCCTCAAACTCATTAGGATATACAGGCAGACCACCAATCCTCTCCTATTCACTCATAATGACATTAAAATCACCCTAATCAACCAAGGAGAATTCTGATTAGCATTACTAATACAGTAAATCTCATCCCATAATTGAACCCTTTCCTCAACATCACACTTGGCATAAACTATAGACACAATCAAAGAATTATTGGTTTCATGAAAAATTAACCAAGTGTCAGCATCTTTTCTGTATCAGACATCACTCCCACCTGAATATGCTCTTTAATGAATATCCAAATTGTGCCATTTCAATTATAATTAGCATACTCCATGCCTAATCTCCTTTTGAACCTTTGTATATTGTTAATATTTTGAAAAGGCTTCATCAAAGCAATGATAGAAAACTTGTGAAATCTGTGTAACATTTGAATTCTATGGAATGAATTTTGAGATCTGATCGACCTCACATTCTGAAACAAAGTCTTCATCATCATTTATACCCGTTTCAGGTCCCCCTTCTAGGATTTGATTTTGTAGGTAAAAATTCCCCTTTACTTTTGCCTCTAATTGTTACTGCTGATGAAAGTGAGATCCCTGCTTCTTGAAAAACCTTATATTCAATATGCAAAACTTCTTTTTCTTCACTATTTTCTATTGCACTACTGTTAACCATTTCTTGCCCCTCCACAACCCCTTGGGGTGACACTATCTCATGTAAGGTTTGAACAGGTTGTGATTTAAAACAAACCACTTCTAGATCCTGATTTTTGTGTTCCTCCTCCTCCCTTGTCAATTATACAGACCCCTGCAATTGAGGTGGATGCCTCTCCTCTTTTGGCTCCAACATTTGTAGAGGAATTTGAAAAAGAAGCATGTAACAAGCTATTGTCCAGTTGCTCGCTGGACAGCTGTTGATGAGCTAATTCAGCATTATTTTCTTCAATCCTCACTCTCCAAATTCACTTCATTATTGACCCCTGCATCAATCATCATAACATCTTCCATTTGCACCAAAGTCCCCTTGTCACTTGCACTATTGTCCCCACTTTCTACTTCTGTTACCTCCATTTTACCTCCAACTTTAACAGGCTCATGAATATATTCACTCGTTACCCCCTCCACTCCTCCTTGAAGATTATGACTGTGATTTGAAACAAGTTCCACCTCTTTCATTAATGGCTGATCAAGCACCTCAAAAGAATTATAGTTTTTTAGTGTCCCCTCACTCTCTTGAACCTTATTACTCATTAATTCTCCAGCATTCTTTGTAAAATTTCTATTAGTAGACTTCCATTTCCTCTTTACAGCTCCTTTGTAAAATTGCATATTATTTGCATGTTGTGATGCTTTTGGTCTGTCTTCATGTTGTTGTACCAACTCTGGATGAAGTACCCTGCATTCTTCTTCACCATGACCCTGTAATTTACATTTTTTGCAATAAACTAGTAATGAAGCATACTGAATTTTAACTGTAACAACTCTATTCTCAAGAGTGTTCTCATTTTCTAACTGCATCTGCACAAATTCAGGTTTTTCAGTAAGCAGATCCACTTGGACCTTCACCCTTGCACAACTTGGATGCGTCTTATTTATTGTTTCCAGGTCTAACTGAAGAGGTTTCCTAACCACATACGCAAGAGTGAACAATACTTCCTTCACAAACAAAGTTGGCAATAAATCAGGAAAACAGATCCAAGTCGTAGCCTTCATCGTCTCTTCACTTGGTTTGAAGTTTGCATCATATATAAATGGCCTCATTTGATATGCAATTCCATCCTTTGCAATTACGTAATAAGAAGTTTTAGACAGTATCTTAATATAATCCTCCATACGATCAAATCTCATTAAGATATGTCTATTATGAAGTTATCCAATCTGACACCCCCCTGGTATCCCATATTGATTTGGAATCAAGGATCGTAATTCATAAATATCAGGGGCTCCATAGGATAATTTACCCACCACAACAAGTTGCAAATTCTCTAAGATATTCATTCTTTGTATTTCACTAGCAGTCTAGGAGATAGTAGGAATACCTCCTACTAGGTTTGGCTTTTTCTGTGGAATGGGTTCTACATCTGCAATGGATTTCCCTTTGCCTATCATATTTTTCAGTCGATGACCTTTGATAATATCTGCAAACGAATTTTTAATTGGAGCTGTATGGATGTTCGATACAGTCTTGATATTTAATGGTGGAAAATTGAGTGATGATGAAGGATCCAACCCAGCCATCTAGGGTGGCTGGCCTTCGGACGGTAACATGTAGCAAATCACAGCCGTCAAAGCTCTAGTTGGTCGCCAAAATTAATTAAAAGTTTTTTAATACTATATTCTTTTTTATTTGTAGGAAAGATATTAGGTAGGTCAATATTTCAGAAAGAGTTTTTCAAGGTCACTTAACTAATGAAAGGCAAATTCTATGAATGAGGTTAAGTAACATATTGTCATGGTTACTAGCTTCTAGATGACATATGGTTATTTCGATCCTCAGAAATGGGTATTGTGGAGTTGGAGTCATTGGAGCTTTGATTAGTTTAGGACAAATTGCCAAAAAGAAAATCAAAGGCAAGTTGTCAGTTTCAAATGCTGATACGATAAACTTGGTATGAAAGAAACATAGAAACGATAGTACCCTCCCCACCGACCCTACATCTAGCTAGGGGCAAAGATGAACAATCCATTGTTCCAAAAAGAGCATAGATGAAAGTACCCTCTCCACCGACCCTAAACAACTCAAAAGCTTATTTTCCCCATTCTCTTCCAACTCTGCAAGACTTATTGATTATACAACAATAACAATTACGTCTTAATGCCAAGCAAGTTAGCATAAATTATATGAATGCGTAGTGTCCAAGTCACTCCATTTAACCCTTATTACTTGTACTTGGGGGAGAATAAACAGATAAAAAGTCTGGATACAAACGTGTAACTAATAACAAAGTACTAGGATCAAGGATATATTAGGTTGTAATATCAAGTTATTTCAAACAGTGCTAGCTGTATAGTGATTAAATCTTGAGTTCAGTAAGCTTTAAGAAGAAACACAATGATACAACTACTAGAATCATTTTTTACGACTCTGGTGTTAACTTTCGTACACCTCGACTAAATTTATGAGAAACCTCCCATCTCCCACCAACAACAGGTACCAGGTAACTCTGTCCACCAAAACTAGGACAAACAGAAAGAATCACCTAGTTTTTTTTATCTACGTTATAATTTGAACCTAAGACCTCATGACTCTCAACCATTTCTAGACCACACTCTTGGGTAAGATAGAACTTCTAGAATCTTAACATGATACAATTAGAAAAAGTAATCACTTACATGCATAACCAATGGTTTTAACTAAAATTTCAAAACCTAATCTAGAGTGGATTGCATTTGCTCAATATGTAAAGGTTTAAGATGTTGCAGATCACCACATAGTTTAACAAAAACCTCTCTAATATATTCTTCTGAAGATCTATCTTTATGTTTTTTATATTACAAGATACCAGTGTGCCATTTCTCCTCATTTCACATTTTTCCTCTGCAAACCTATTGACATTTACATTTCGAAGGGAAAATAGTTTTTTTCTAAAGAAAAAAGAGGCAAGAAGCCAGAAGAGTATTTGATATCGGCGGTTCCCTTTTCTTTAACCTCTACTCTCTTAAGAGTTTGTAGTGCATTAGTAAAACCAACATCTTTGCTAAATATTAAATTATATGGTTTGGCATCGTAGGATTCTTTCTGAAGGCATCCTTCCTGCAACACTCATTTGCAGGATTCTGATGAACAAAAGAGGATGTATATCCCTAGTATGCCAGAGATGGCATTATTGGTATGCTTGGTAGCATAGCTGAAGTATTACATGTTAGGAAACATATGCAAATGGTTGTTCAACTTGATCGACCCCTGGGTTCCCTTAAAAATCGGGTCATTCCGTCCCCTGGAGTTCCATAGCATGATGTTCATAAATCTATTCAGATTGGGTGGATTTATCATGGGAATGTCCCTTATGGATTCTATATATCGAGGCATCTGTGTTCGTATTCTTCACTGTTGGTTTCAATTACTAGCACATAGATCCCTATCTGAGGGATAAAAGGGTGCTTAATTGTAACACCCCAAAAATTTCAATGTTAAGACTCGAACCATTCTTGAATTGCGTATAAGGTCGTACCGAGAGATTCTTAATTGTTCTTAGATTCTAAGGTCAATTCATTAGTGTGGGAATGATTTTGGATATCAATTAAGGTCTCTAGAATCCGCTAACACAAAGTTGAGTAGAAAGCTTCCGTACCGATTAAGTTTTGATGTAAGATTGTACTTAGGTCAACTTAAAATGATCATATCTCTTTTCACATAAAGAATTAGGCGGTCCATGACCCAAACAATTGAAAATCTTTGATTCCTCTTTCCAATGCCACCAAGTTTGCTTTATTTCAAGCTCAGAGTAAAATAATATGTTTGTTTTAGTGAAGCTTTCTTTTTAAGGCATCTAAATCGTCTTAGATAGGTAGTTTGGTCTTTTTCCACTCCTTCTAAGCCTAAGACACATTTTTCTTCACCTAATTAAGGGTCTAATTAGTGTTAAAACATCTTTTCACATTCTTTAACACTTAGAAGAATTAGAGCACGGTTCCACGAGGAGAAAAAGCTAGGGTTCAAGCGTTCTTCAAGTTTCCATTGATTTTCGCCAAAAACCTTTGTTCTTTACAGGTATGTAATGTTATCATAATGTTGGTTTAGTTCGTCTTCACTCCCTACATCTCAATTCTGTAAAACATTGTCACATCTAATGGATCCATTCGCAGTTCTTGATATTGAATTTGATTCTTTAACAATTGAGGTTTTGATTTTTTTGTTTTGTCTTATAGTGTTGTTCATGCTTAGTATCACATGAACCTTATTGATTTAGTAAAGTTATATTTTTTAAAAGGAATTGTATTGGTTTATGGTTTGAGAAATAAGAAGAGTTTGGGAGCGATTTCCCAATTCTAAACTAATTTGGGGTCCTAATTTAACTTGAAATTTCATCGGGATGCTGGGGAGGGCCCTAGGGTGGTACACTAGTAATGCGCCATACATGTCCTTCAATAGTTTAGGCCCTGGGGCGGCGTGCTAGCAGTGCACCCAGGCCTGACTTCTGAAGTTTAGGGTTTGGCGCCCTGCGTCACCAGTGTGCTGAGCCCTAACTTCTGAAGTTCAGGGCCAAGTTCCCTGCGCCAGAAGTACGCCAAGGATTTGTTAGGAAGATTCTTCTCTTTGTTTCATTCGGCGCATGTTCCTTTAAGTTGTTGTCATGTTTCCCGTCTCTGTATTAGCTCCTATAAGCTTCATTTACTAAATTCCTGCATATCCTAATCACATGTCTTAATGCACATTCAAAACTAAATTGAGTTGAAGAGGAAAGTTCAATAGCTTTTATGGAATTATTATTGAGAATCATTTTTAACAACAATGATCTTAAACTAAGTATTCCCAAATGTAACATTTTTACATTGAGGAAAGACAAACCTTGATTTCTAAAAAGACTTTATGAGTTCATGATATTTCAGAGCAAATACCTCTTTTAACAGGTTATTTTGAGTGATTACCCCAAAATAGAGAAAGAGTATTTCTACTTGAGCATGAGTATATATATTTATTGGGAGTAGTATTGAGCACCGATATGGGGATGATTTCAAACAACTCACGTTCCTCATAAACCATGTAGCCAACATGGGTAAAGGATCATACTTTTTATACGACTCCTTATTTATTTCGAGCATAACTTTAGTTCATCCACTTAGTTGAGGTGTTCTATACCCCGTCAAGGTATAGGACAGTCCTGGAAGTGTGGGTGAGACGTATCATCGTATAGCTCATAGTGATGGTTGTTGGTTAGAGAATCTCCCAAATAAGTGTAAAAAGTAATTTATTGTATTTTTTATATACATCCATAAGTTAGTATCTATTATTTATGAAGCTTTAAGCATTTCATCTTTTATTTTTGCTTTGTATTGAGTTGAGTTGAAGTAAGTATTTTTCCAGTCTTATCAGTTTATTGCTTATCAGTTGAGTTGAGGTGAGTATTTTTCCAGTCTTATTAGTTCAGTTATCTGTGCATTCATTTTTCTTTACATACTCGTACATTCAATGTGCTGATGTCATTTGACCTGCATCTTTTAATGATGCAGAACAGGTGTTCAGGAATTATGATGCAGATACATGTGTTTAAGGTCATCAACAGGTGCTTCGTTGAGATTACTTGCACTCCAGTTAGCTTTTGTGAGCCTCCTTGCTTTCCGGAGGATTTTACATTAATTTTTCTATTATTGTTGAGTTGTTGTGGGTCTTGTACCGACATCTATCCTAGTATTAGAGGCTTTATGGACAATTAGAGTTACGTTGATGAGTCTCTAAGTATGTTCCTTTCTGTTTTGAGATCTTGAGACTATAACTTATACCTTATTAAGTATTTCCAGACATTTATTTTAGCTGAGTTTAATTATGCATTTAATGTTTCCTATTTGCTTGAGTAAGTCTTCGCTAAGTAGTCAGTCAGGTTGAGGGTTCGCTTGGGGACCAGCGATGGTTCTCGAGTGTTGGTTACGTCTAAGGCGTAGAATCAGAGTGTGACATGAATAACTATTAAACTTTTTAAGACATTCAGTAGATAGATAAGTATTAATTCTTATTATATTTCCCATTGTAAATCATTATCTTTATCTCTTTTAACACAACTATTTTTGTCCTTATTTCTATCATTAGTCTAGAGCTTCTTCTGTTTCATAGGTTTTGTACTCACAAGTCTAAATTGAGCTATGTTTATACGATGGATTTCAAGGTACCCCTCCTGTAAACCTAGTTCCATTTAAA